GATGAGTGTAGTGCACTAGTTCAGTTTAATTTAATGAAAATTACTTGACAAAATGTGCAATGCAAACTCAGATGTTGCACAGTTTTCTGGTTTAAGCTGGCCAGCCACAGGTCAATGTTCCTCTGATTGTTGAGTAACTTCACCTTGTTTTGTAATAATGAATTGAATTTTGGAATGGTCCAAGTTTTTCTCTTGATCTCGACCAATTATGGCAGCCATGGACGCACCCTTTTTTTTCCCGGAAAAATATAATGATACTCTACTACACAATCCTTTGTTACTGCAATGCCGCCGACATCGCTAACTTTGGCAAACGTCCGGCTTGTTGACATCGTGAAAACCCTCTATATTGCTGTCCTACATCAGGTTGTAAGTTTTCTTCATATCCGTACATTTTTAAATATCTGAATATGTATGGTACCCACAAAAATTCTACAGTACTTGCTAACAGTTTTATCTGAACATCACTATTTTTGCCCATWAAAAAAATTGAGGTTGAAATTATGTGACGAATGACATCACGTCAACTTCGAGAAAGGTGAACGTTTGCACTGTCCCTTTAAAACTATTGTATGTTAGACCCAACATTTTCAGACAAAACTGATGCTGCACTTCAACGAGGCGCATGAGACACAGAAGTTACACCCAGAATGGTGAAAACAGGAACCTTCGTTTGGACCAAGGATCAGTGTTGAAAAGTGGGTCCAGAGCAAACCAGCTGTTGCTCACTGTTGTCCTGCTGCTCACAGAAATGGGGGTTTCTAAAAGACTCCAATCTGCATATAAGCAATTTCACTCGTTGCACCTTTCTTTGATATTCAACAAGGAGTGACCAGAAAGTTCCACAATCACACCTGGACTCTGGAAGTTTCGTCAGAGACTCCGATCTCTGTTGTCGTGTAAACGAACGGTGGAATTTCAACTTGAATATTTATTCTCAGATACGCCATCAACCTGATAAATGACATTGTTTTTGTGTTTGTTTGACTTTCTCGTTTGAGGGAAAAATACAAAGGCACAGAAGACTGCGTTGTTGGGGGAGTAAGTTAATCTACATGTGAATTTCGCTCTGAAAGCTCTTCAGCGTCATTAAAGAAGTCAATTTTTTTCAGCTTTTTAACTTGTCTCGTCGCTGTTGTTTTTTTCCCCCTCAATGCTATAAGCAGATGGATACATTTGGTCACCGGACGCTCAGCGAGCAAACAATGTTCTTTGTGTTCGGTCAGCTGAACTGGGACAAAGGAACGGCACTCGAACGCATCACGCTGCTCCTATGAGCTGCGTAGTCATACCGACCCCAGGTCCGTCGATTTTAGTTGTTTTAGATGTTGCTTGAAGGGTTTGGTTTTAGATTGAGATTTGACCTTTTGTCAAACTCTTTGTCTGTTTTTTTGGACTTCAGCTGTGCTGCGAGAACACACGGATGTGAACAGGAATACAGACAAAAGGCTCTTTGTGTGCCCTGCTGGATTTGCTCACATGATGCATCAAGAGAAAGAAGAACAGGAACTTTTAACTGACCACAGGTCATAGTCTTTACATCTGTGCAGACATTAGAACAGACCATGTTCTTTTTTTAAGTCTACTACACATTTATATGGTTAAATCAACAAATTTCAGTTTGCCAAATGCAGACATTATGCACAGAAATAACCTCAAAGAGAACTTCCCATCCTTTTCTCTGTATTAGGATCTTGTCAGAGACACAATCTACTTTTGGAACAAAGAAAACCCAACATAATGGAGAACAGACATAAATACACGGAAAATAACTGAAACAGTAAGAGATGCCCACTCGAGTGGAGCAGACTTAAATAAATCCAATTTTCTACCCTTTTTTAGTTGGCGCTCCTTAGTCATGTTTAACTTACCGGCACATCTTTTGATTTTTGGATTATTCTGCTTGCTTGACAAGAGGCATTATTTTGAGCCGTGGCGTGCTTCTTCATGTATAACAAGAAAAAATCTGAGCACTCAGGCCTGATGAGAGCTCTTCATCTCGATGAGTCAGATCTTCAAGCTACTGTTCGGTGAAAAACAGAGACATCAGGTCCTAAAAATCTATACAGATTAACTAGAAATAGCACTGATAARGAAAAATATTGGTTTTCAGATCTACTGTATTACATTAGTTGATTGACATTGAAAATGCAGTGCTTAGTTTTTATCAGCTCTTTCCAGTATGGATGCTAAACTTTGGACTTTAGAGTTTAAACTAACTATGCTCCACACATGCACGGTCATGAAATAATACTAGGGCTGCCACAAACCATTATTTTAATAATCGATTAGTCGTCGATTAATCGTGGCAGCCCTAAGTAATACACACGTTAGGTTGAGAAAGTGGTGGCAAACTAAACAAAACAAAGTCGTGCAATGGTGTAGAGGCTTAARGATATAGTTAATGTTGCGTTCTTAAACACTGATTTTTTGAGAAAGTAATTTATGTCAGAAAAACGACATCAAATTGGCCCTTGCTATTAACATAGCCTGAACAATGACTTCTGACATTTTTAGAATATGACTAAAGTAGGGTTGGGCAATATTGGCAAAATTTTTTTATCACGATTAATTGTGGTATTTAGCCGATAACGATTAATTTGATGATTAATCCCCTGGAGTCCCTGGACACCCTCATGTCCTAGTCACATGACCAATTTAGTGGGAAAGATTTCATAAAATTCAGTTCCAAATTGTGTCAAAATTACAGACTTCAGGCTACACATCAGATTTAAAACTGTGTTGATAGATAAATAAATTGCAGAACTTTTTTAAATGTTCATGTTTGAAGCAGAGAGGAGCAGCGAGCGGATTCTGCCTGGTGGCATTACTCGTATTAATCGTCAAGTGCCAAAAAAGTAATCGATTAATGTTTTTCTGACGATTAATTGCACACGATATAATATATGCCCAACCCTAGACTAAAGTCACGGCTGATAAGAGACCAACTATTGATAACTATTTTAACACAGCATCACTTTAAAAGTGATCAAACTGTTCCTTTTTAGAATAAAATGGCGATGAACCCACGTTTTACTTCTTTCCACTCCATGTGATTTAAAAAATTCAAAAATCATCTAAAACAGTTGTGAGCACAGACCAAATCAAGGATTAAATCATATTTGGTCAAATTAAACTAAGCACTTTTTCAGATTTCTGGCCTTTTTAAGGCTGCATTCTGATACCTAGGTCATCCTGAGATCATGAGTGGTTCCAGAGATGTRTCTTCATTTAMTTGCTAATCAGGTATATCCCTGGAAAACTGGTTTGACTCCCATTCTAATGAGGTTTTCTTGTTGYCATTTGAAACAGGAAACCTCAAGCTGTATTTGGTTATCAGGATTTCCTAGCTGGTAGTTAAAGTAGCTTTGTTAGTGTGCAGTGAAAACAGGGAAAGGTCTTTTCTGCTCAAAGTCATTAATTAGTGTTGCTCTTGTAAACATTTGTTGTTTGTTTCAGACATTTCCTTCAAAGGACCCATTATTTATTCATTTTGTTTTGACAAAATAGAATAATAAACACATAAAYAAAATCTCACTGCAAAATTTTCTACCGATGCACCATAGCTGCCTAAATCACCTTGTGACATAATCCTTGGTTAGATGTGACAGGTCACATGGGTTACTGCTGTTCAGAGAGTTGATGTATGACACAATGATATTATAATAGCTCGTGATTTATTGCATTGTGTAGCAACACTCATATTTCGCTCACTGATACTACAATCACAACTAATATGCAGCTAAAGCTTAACGTTTTGTAGATTTTCTTCCTTCCTCTCAAAAAACCAGAAACAATACAGTTTACGCCGTCTAGATTTTAGTCAAACTTTATTTTTCCTCATGAAAGAATCGAAGGGGAAGTCCTTTGTGGTGAGTCTGAATCTGTGGTCTGTGACTGCTGATTCAGCACTGTCCAGACCAAGCACCAACCTACAACAATGTACAAGCAGAATCTGAATGATTTGGGAAAAATTGTGYAGTGTGAATGATTACTATACCAAACATCCCCACCCTTTTCCACCTCTCCACTTTTTATAGTTTAATCTAATAAGAGTGTTAACAGCAGCTGATATCGCTGTAGGATTTATTWGATTGTGCTGTGTAGCATCTGTTAAAACTGACAGGGACGGTGCCGACTGCTGTCAAGAGTTTATGAGTTTGCACGRCGAGACATGTCCGAGCACTTTAAGAGTTTAGAAATGGCGCAGTGAGAGCCACATTTAGGAGACTCGAGAAGGTTTATTTCTCAGCTGTAAACCAGAGTTTTAAAAAGAGTAAAGATTTGTGTTCGACTGATCATTTTAAAGCCTGGTAGAGGGGGATGAACTCTCCAGCTGCTCAGTGCTGGACTCACATGTACCCTCAGGCTCTGTAGATRTCTGTGTTCTGTCCTGGACACCAAGATGATTATCTGTTGTTTCTGCCCTGTTTCTTTTTTTTCTTTTTAAGCGGGGAAAGACCTGGATCCAGGAAAACCYGAAGGAGGAGCAGGCAGAGCCAACTACGTTGCATTTGCGCTGGTGCCAACTTTCTTCGTTCTGGGCCTCATCGGGGTGYTGATCTGCCACATGTTGAAGAAGAAGGGCTACAGGTGCACCACGGCCCAGGACGACGAGGATGAGGAGTGTAAAGAGGATTTGGATCCAGAGCAAGGTGGAGGTGAGGTGTCATGGGTAAAATATGAAATCTCAACCTTCTTTCATCTCTACAAATTTATTTATCAAGACATAATTGTTTGTTTTTTTTTTTTCAATTCTTTACACAAAACATTTTCTG